CTTTTCTCCCACCTCTCTCCAGCCCTCAGCCCCCCCCCCCCCCCCCCCCCCCCCCCCCCCCCACAGAGATCACAGGCACATGGTAAATTGGATGCTTTCAGTTTAATAGCTCTGAGCTACAAGGGTGTTTAAGGCTTTAAATCCAGTAGCCCCATTCTTTTCAGCTTCTCAGGACCAAAGTCTTACTGGACTGTATTTTTTCCTCAGTCTTTGTGCACCTTCAATTCCAGCTAGAAGGAAAACCAAGATGTGAGTGAGGCTTCTAGGGCCCCAGGCACCAGCTCTGCCTTTCCGTTCCTCTTCAACCCCATCTTCTGCTTTCCAAGCTCACTGATCCCCTGCAGGGGCTTACACAGAAGTTGGAGGGATTCCCTGAGGCAGAAGGACTTGCCCTCTTCCCCCAATTTGGCAGGGGGCAAGAGGGATGGAAGCAAGCAGGTTCTACACTGGGAAGACTGGGGGCTGAACCCCAGGGAGAACCAGTCTACTCTCAGACAACAATGGCAAATTGAATCTGGATGAGAAATTGGAGACGTCTGAAAGCACAGAGTGAGGGCGGCTTCAGTGGCAGGGGCTGTGGCAGTTCTGGGTCTCTCATGTCGGGTTGGAGCTGGTTCTCTCCCATCTCACACCCCTGGATGGTGGTTGGTGAGTCCTCTCATTCCCACAAAGCCTTGCCTTGGGATGCACTCACCTTCAATTAATTGTTTACCACCTTGAATGCTTCCATGTAGTCCTTTTCCTCCTCCTCCAATGACATATTCTGATAACACGAGAGCTTTTTCTTTCAGAGAACCTAATTTTGGAGCAGAATCGCATCAGCAGAAAAGCCACATCATTTAAAGAGAACTTCCCCCAGACATCATTCCTATACAAATTCCTAAAGTGGAAAAGTTTTACTGAAGTTTCTCTCTCTTATGGAAAGGTGTGTGGGTCAGGACAGAAACCATGTATAGTGCAGGCAGCAACATCTACCAGTGCAGAAACCCTGTGTGTGGGTGCAGTGTGCACCGCCGTTTGTGCCTTGTTTTGTGTGTTTGCGTATGTCTGCTTTTCCCTGAGCTTGTCTCTGTGGGAGGAGGTGTCATGTGGGCCTGTTGCCAGAGACTTCTCTATGTGGTTGATCTGGCATAGAGACAGAGACTTACTCAGGGGGCTTGATCCCTGCCACCCTGAGGTGAACTTGGTTGTCTTCTGAGCTGCTGCTGAGATCTCCTGGGCTGTTGTGATTGTCTCTTGGGGTGAAGCTGAGGTCTTCTCATCAGGCGTAGCTACCAACACACAAATTTATTGATTTTAGCAAAGTCAAAGTGCTTTTTCTCTTTGGAACGGGTGGCAGGCCCCAGGATACCTCATATGTGCTGGGGGCCAGAATACAGAAGTGATATGGCATAAACCCTGCCCTCTTAAGGGAGACAGGATTTCTACATGTTACGTGTCTCCTGGAATATGGTGGGTAAGGCTGGGCACCTTTATGGGCAGGGCTGGGGAGGGCTTTGGGGTGAGATATGGGGAGTAGGAGGGAGTGCTTCAGAGTGAGGTTGGGTCTTGAAGGCAGGACTTTGGTAGGGGAGGATGTTCTAAAGGGGCTTCCCTGGGGGCAGGAAGTGAGTTAGCAAGAGCTCAGGGGGAGGCCTGTGTGGGACAGATGTGGGGAGTAAAACAAATTCAGTTCAGCCAATGGGGGTGGTCCGTGAGGGAGAGTCATGCAAAATAGGGCTGGAAAGTGAGGTTTGAGGCCAGATAATGGGTGCTTTGCTAGGGAGCTGGGAGTTATGGGAGGTGTTTACAGGTGAAGGTATTAATACCAAGTGGAACTGTTCCCTCATCATTTAACCTCATGTCTCCCCCCCCACTTGTTTTTTTGGTGGTGGTGGGGGGAAGGGGCTGCTGGCTGATACGGGGATCAAACCCTGGACCTTGATGTTATAACACCATGCTCTAACCAACCGAGCAACCGGCCAGCTCTCTCTCCCTTTTGTTCACAGCCGCCTCTCCCCCGTGCTCCCCATCGGCCATGCCTGCCTGGGTGATCTTCCTTTGTTCCTAGCCTTGTCCCCCTGCAATCCATGCTCTTTATTACATTTCCTGCTCGTCCCCATTATCAGCAAGGACAGCACCCAAATCCCCTCCCTTGGCTGCTTCTCCCAGCCTCCACTCACATCCTCAGCCCTCCCACTGGGGACAGGGGCGGCAGGGAGATGAGGACTCACGGGTCACGGTGTCCTGGGCAGGGGCATCCTGCGTGAGGTCAGTGGAGGCATCTTCTGCGGTGGAGGAAACAGATACCAGGTTAGAGTGAGGACTGTGCAAGACCCACCCCCATCCCCAAAACTTAGCTCTCAGGACTGTTTGGGGAGAGAGGGGGATCAGTTTCCCTTTTGGTTGAACATGCCCTTCGGCCACATCAGTAGGTCTGCCAGGGCACGTGCTCTGATGTAACTTTAACTCCTGCGGTTTTTTGGAAACAGGTTCTTCTCTGAGAGGTGTAGAATCCCTCGGAACAGGGCCCTCCTCTTGACTAGCCGCTGGCTTGGGAGGGTTCCCTGACTTCCCATCACGGAGCTGACATGATTGGGGGGCTCCTCTGTGGTGGAGGGGGACAGGGTGGGGGCCGGGGGGCTGTGCCCAGGTGGTTTCTGGGATTGGGACCCCAGCCTTCATTCTTTCAACACAGTGTTTATGCAAAGCTTCCTGCTGATTGGTGGAGGTACAGTGCTGAAGATGGCACTCAAGACCCCTGCCCTGGCAGAGCCTACATTCTGCTGTGTAATTATTTAATTACCAGGGTGATGGTGCTGGAAGGGATAAGTACAGCATGGTGTGATAAGGACAAATGGGATCGATTTGTTCTACATGTTCATGGTAGGCTTTCTTGAGGAATTATATCTGAACTCAGATTTGATAAATGAAAAAGTCCTTGGCCAGGTGACATTCAGAGTTGGCTGAGGGAAGGGACAGGCAGAGAAAAGAGCAATAAGAAAGGTCCCCATGTTCAAGGAACAGCAGGGTCATCCTGGCATACTGCTTGGCAAGTGGAGTGTGGGCCACATTTTAGCTCCCACCACCCCTTGCCTGGGCACCCTTGTGCAGGAGGCCGCTTGCCCAACTATATGCAGTGGCCCAGAGGCACTGCAAAAAGGCCAGTGTGGCTGGAGCATAGCAGCTAAAGGACAGTGTGTGAGGAGATGAGCTGAGAGAGCAAGCATGGGCCAAAGGGCCCCTGGTTCCCCTGACCAGTGGGATAAAGAGGCCACTTGTGGAGAACTGGGGGCAGGAGTCACCCACAGAGGCAGGGAATCCAGGACAGCACTGGAAGAGAAGCAGAGGGGTGAGAGCAGGAACTAGGCCTCTCTGGACTGTGAGGACCCTGGAGAGGGGCAGGGGAAGGGCTATACTTACGGGCACAGACCAGGGCCCCAGCCAGAGCTGCCAGGAACAGGAGAGCCGTGAATCTCATGCTTTGGGATGAGGAGTGAGTATAACCACAGTATCCTCAGAAGGTCCAGAGACTAAGGAAGCTAAAACTGCTGGGCCCTTTTATGGATAAGAAAAGCCAATGGGAATCAAGCTTGGAGGGGTGTGACTTCCGTTTCTTCCTCCCCTTTATCCCCAGACTGTCACCTGCTGTGTCGTCAAGGGCTAGCTGGGGCTGGCTGATACCTGGTATCCCCGTGGGCAGGTCCTGATAGGAGCCTTTCCCTACTGACTTCCAGCCATCCCTATCTTTTCTCCGTCCTTCCTTTCCCACGCCACCTGCCCTCTAGGTTCCCACCTCTGGGATTTCAGGGACTATGGGTAAAGCCAGTTTCATTTGGGGAGATTTTGGAATATGTCTGTTGGGGTTACTGGTGTGGGACTCTTAGTTTTGTCATCTCTCCAGCAGGAGATTGGGCCTCAGGAGATCACACTGTCTACCTCCTGCCTTAGTCTACACAGGACTCAGTGTGGGGCTTGAAGTTTTCCCCAGACTAAGTGAGCTGCTTTCCCCAGGAGGCCACACTCTCAACGTTTGAGGACTCAGTTCGTGGCTGCTTTCTCTCCTCAAGTGGGTGGCTTTGAAGGCATGTGTGCCTTCTCCGGAGTTGTATCCTGCTCTTGAAGCTATCTAACCCCTAGAAAGAACTTCCCCAACCCCACATAGGCCCCATCAGTCTCTGTATTCAGGACTAACTAATGAGACCCCACATTTCCAATAGTATCTCCTGGTCAAATGATGATGGTAGTTCACTGAAATTGTAGGCTGGTTCTCCCTTCAAGTGGGGAGGATCCAGAAAAGCAGATACTTTTGAAGATGCTTCTCTTTGACTTGGGATTTCTTCCTCCCCTGATCTGGAATTCAAGAGGGCTGGACTTTGAGTTCTGGCTTTGCTATATACATATGACAGTATATTGTCATATATTGAAAAACATTAGAATTTTCATTTGTAGTTTAGGAATTTTGGCTTTTATGTTTAGGATAGTGGTGGAGATTACGTGAGATAATATATGTCAAAGCATTTTTTACACAGTAAATTTCTATGGAGCTGTGTGGGGTTCTTGTACTTTGCAGAGGGCTCATCTTTCCAGATAGGTTTGGTTCAGGGTGGTGCTAAGTGCTAAATAGAATGAGGCAGAGGAGAAGCAGGAGCCAGTCGAGGGGCTGAAGGATGGAGAATAGGATGTTGGATACCAATTTGTGATTCTCCATTTGCTTGGTGTTGGCTCTTGCCCAGCCCCAGACGGGGCTGACTCCTGAGGCTGAGTCCTGCAGGCTTCCCTGCCTCGTGGCTGCTCTGAAGGTTGGTGTGAAAAAGGGGGTATCCAGAAGTTTTTGACATGAGGTGTTTTAGGTGACTGGATTTAGAGCATCAATCTCTCAGGAGATGAAGGAAGAGAAACTTAATGGGGCGGAACATTAAAGGCATGAGGAGTGAAATCTTTCAGGCCATTTTACATACATTCTTAGCCTTCAGGTAAGATGACCATCACATTTGGGCAGCTGATCTGCTCCAGACATAGGGAGTGGGGACTGCATTGGAGTAAGGGCTTCCCCACTAACCCACTGGGTGACCTGGTTGAGTTGTTGAGTTCTGGGTTTCTTTTTTCTCATCTGCATTTTGGGCATAATTCTGCCTTGGATTATTCCAAGGCCTATTTAAGGATCAGATGAGGCAATAGATGCGAAAGCCTGTTTAATTGCAATGGGAAGGTATTTCCCCTGTCCTGAACCATGCTACAGTGTGAGTGTCCACACCTTACCCAGTCAGAGTAACAGGACCTTTCCCTTCAGCACCTGGCTGAGGCCGAACCCTTAATGGGTCTTCTCAGAACTCTCTGGTCTCTTTCTTTGGTCTCTTTCCGAGAGGATGCAGAGGCCTGTTGTAAAGCCTATCAGACACTGTGCCGAGGTGGAAGGCCTGCCAGGTCCCCTTTAAATGGGCTGGGAGCTGGTCAGAGGAGGGAGAGGGAAGGAGGGATTGAGGAGGACAGAGATTCAGGGGCCAGAGCTGAGACAGTAAGGGGTTGCAGTATTTCCAGCCTAGAGTCAAAAATTAATGGTGGGCTGGGGCCCGGAGGAGCCATTCACTCCCCTTAACATCCTTACACAGCTTTGGGTGAGTAAGCCTCAGGGGATCTTGGAACCAGGACTCGGTCTAAACATTAAGTTTCATTTACTGTCTGGTCTCAGAGAAGTTACTTTTCTCTCTTTCAGCCTTAAATTCTATTGCTCTGGAGAATAGGCCTTGTCTTCCCCATCCACTCCCAGCTTCCCAGGGCAGTTGTGAAATAGACTGAGATTCATTCAACAAACATTTCTCGCGTGCTCACTGGGCTTGGCCCTGGAGACCCAATGATGAATAAGACATTGTCCTGGTCCTTAAGAAGCTTTCAGTGTGAGAAGGCATTGGATAAGAAAAAAAAAAAAATTAAGGCACAGGTTTATAATCCCTGTTTTGGAACTGTTGGGGTCAAATGTGTTTTGGAATGCTACATTGAAAAAAAAAGTTAAAAGCATTAGGGAGCATGGATTGTACATTATAAGGTCACCCCATTGTCAAACACATTACTATTTCAGTGACAGAACTCATGACTATTCATATAAAGTGAGCTAAAGAAGGACTATAAATAGCATACGTCAGTTTGAGTAATGTTTTGTTACCAAATGAGCTCAGCTCAGGTCAGATTTTTCCATCAAATGATTTGTAAAAGGGACTTGGATTTTCAGAGCTGTTTTGATTTCAGAGCTGTGCATAAACTTATGGACCTGTACAGTGAGGTAGTATAAGGAGAGTGGAGGCAACACGTATTCTCCAGTCCAAGACCTGGGGATGCCCTGCGTGTGACCGTTCGGTGTAAGTTGAGTGATTTGGGGAACACTTATCTCAGTTCTTGCACCTGAAACATGTGAATGATAATTCAGGGCTATTCTGAGAATTGAATGAGCAAGCGTGTGTGAATGTGCTTCCTAAGCTCTCTACAGCTGGTCAGAATCCTTCCCTTCAAAAGAAGCTGGAGCCTCATTTGCTTAGCATACTCTTTTTGGCAGGTATTGGGAGCAGAGAGATGTACTCATATATGGAAGATGCTTATCCTTAAGGAACTCAAAGGATTTTTTTTTTTCCTTTTTGTCTTTTTTCGTGACCGGCCACGGGATCGGAACCCTCGGTGTTGCTCCCACCCCTCGCTCAACCAGTGAGCGGCCGGTCTGTATGTGGGATCCGAACCCTTGGTGGGATCCGAACCCTTGGCGGGAGCGCCACCGCTATTCCCAAGCGGCGCACTATAGCAGTGCACCACCGGGCCGGCCCGCTATCTCAGTTCTTGTACCTGAAACATGTGAATGATAATTCAGGGCTATTCTGAGAATTGAATGAGCAAGTGTGTGTGAATGTGCTTCCTAAGCTTTCTACAGCTGGTCAGAATCCTCCCCTTCAAAAGAAGCTGGAGCCTCATTTGCTTAGCATACTCTTTTTGGCAGATATTGGGAGCAGAGAGATGTACTCATATATGGAAGATGCTTATCCTTAAGGAACTCAAAGGATACTTTGGGATTAAAGTTGAGCTAAAGGACTTGACAATTGAGATTTAGTTGGCATAGAAAGGTGGTCGGTGGGTGAAGAAGGGGTACATTGAGTGAATGCATAGATAGAACTTGGCAATTACTGCCTGCCTGAGGGTCTAGGCCAGGGAGCCTCAAAGGTGGTGGTGGTCCTACCTGAAATGGGGAAGGCTGAGGGACAGGAGAAAGTTTTGACTGCATCAGTGCTGTGGGTGTGTGTGTATGCGTGTGTGCACGTGTGTATACACTGCAGAAGGAGAAATCCAGACGCTAGATCCCAAACAGTTCGTGAGCACATTAAAAAAGTCAACAGGATCAAACTATGCTATTTGCACAAGGTTTTTCTAAGAGGAAATTAGAACTTTGGCATCAACACTAGAACTGTCACAGAGCAGGGTCTTTCTAAATGTCACTGCTTATCGATTTTCCTATCCTAATTCTCCTCCTGTCATCAAGAATTAAAGAGGCAGGTATTCACGTAAATGGGGAGGAAGTGGAAGGTAGAGGTATTTGTTTTATAGAAAAATTTCATTACTTTATAACAGGGCCCAGGTACAATGTTACCCTAAATTATAGGGCCTGGGAAAGAATTGGATATATACATTGAAGGAGAGAGACACACCCATGTGTGTGGGTGAGGGGCTGCTCTGAGTGATGTCTTGTCTTCTAGGGTATCTGACCTCCATGGTGACTGTTAGTTTGCTGATCGGGGTCTTTTCTCCTGTGCTGCTTGTTTTCTGTCCATTGTATCTCTCTCCCCTCCCTGCCTCAGATCTGTTCTCTGTTCACCTCTGCACTGGTCTGGAACAATGACCTCTGTGGCTGTGCCATCTGTTTTTTTGCCAGGACACCGACTGATACACCCCTCCCCATATGACCGTGCTGGGCGCTGAGTGTCATCTCCTTGTTCCCTTTACTCCGTGTTAAACCCTGTTCTGGAAGTCCGAGGGGTAGCAGAGACTCCAAAGGGAGGAGGTGACATAGACTCTTTGGGGTAGACAGCTCATATATTCAAGACACAGACACACATTGTGCTCTGAGGGCCACCTCACCCTCATGGCTATGGTGATGTGGCTGTGGTGACATGGCCAGTCTTCTCTGCTAGGCTTTGTGGGCTTGCCCTTGTTCTTCCCTCTCTGCCTGTGGGGGAGGTGTGAATTCCATGGTGTGGAATATTTTTAAAAACTCCAATTCTCTTTCTTTAACAAACATTATAGTATGTAATATGTGCCAACCACTTTCTCAGAGCTTTACAAATTTTAATCTCATTTAATCCTCAGAGCTCCCAATGAGAGCACGAAGGCAAAGGTAGGTTAAGGAACTGACCCATGATAACACAGCTAGTAGCAGCTGAGCTGGATTTCAAACACGGGCTTTCTACCTCCAGTCTGTGCTATAAAGTAGTCCCTGTTGGAATACTAAATTCCACTT